GCAGGAATGAAAAAAATGCAATTATGTAACTTTTTCTAAAATAGTTTTGTTGTAGGAAACTGCTCCAAAACTTCTCTTAATATAGAGAAATGCTGCTGAAGCCTCCTGTGACCCAGACTCATTGAACAGCACTGGCAGCAATGCACAGATATAAACTTCTAAAAGGTTTTGAATGCAACTGACCTCTCTCACCAATCAGAGGCTTTCAATTATGTCTGCTTGATCAGTAAGTTTTGTTGCATTTTCATTTATTATAATTTCATAACAACAGATATCCGAAGAGCTGGGCAGAGCATGGTGGAACATAAAACATCATAGTAGAGCATAGTGGAGGAGGGAGAGGGAGCACTGGGCAGAGCAGAGTTGGTTGATTTGGAGTTTCATGCTAGTGCTACCTTAAGTTACATACTGTAGCTTTAAGTAAACATAATGTAAATCCTTCAGGTTTCAAAACATCCAAAATCAGCTTGGAAAATACTAGTGAGAAAACAAATGCATTCAACACATTCATCTCAAGAACACACAAGTAGGACATGTTCATCATAAAGGTTCTTGGGGTTCATGGCCAAAAATGTCGACAATTTCTTAAATGCCACCAAAACTGTGAAGCCTAAAAGGACTGCACACTGAGATTCAGATGAACTTCTTCCATGATTGTCTCATCAACAAAGCAGAGAGTAGATAGATTGAGATTACTGTCACCCTGCCACCACAAAGGAACCATTGTCTTGGTGATCAGGTCCCCTTCGTCAAGAACACTTAAGCAGTCACATTCCTTGAGAGAAGCCCAAAAAATGGCATTTTAAAGTGTCTGACCACTGCCTCAAGGCTTTGATATTGAAATGAAACATGGCCCTGTACAAATAGCACCGCAGTTGAGGAAAAGGGGGGCGTAAACCAGATAGGATTTCTTTGAAATGAAAAGACCTCATCTGACATTTTCCAAGTGTGCACTGAGGGACACTGAAGCAATGTTAAGTTATTGCTATGTGGAAAGTGTTAGCGTTTTCACCTCTGCCTTTCTGGATGAATGGGTGAAATGCAGTGTGGAGCAAGCAGAAGCACTGAGACTGGGGTGAATATGAATAAATCACACACAGACACACACACACACACGTTTGCTTTTTATTGTCATAGTTGTCATTTTGATTTAAAGATTTGGCACATGCCTTAGCTGCTGCTGATGAAACACAAAAATATCTGCAAGAGGGTTATTATAACAACACTATGGTATCTGAGTAGTTAGGCTGGCACCTTTAATCCAAATTACTGAATTACACAATCTGACTTCTGGGGCATGTCTTTCCAGTGCTTCACTCTACTGTGTTTCCTTAGATGAAGACTTCTCTCAGGGAGAACCAAAGATATTTGACAGAATATCTCATTCCTTTGCAGATGGATTGTATGGATTTGCTGCCATCTAAATTGATGGGCACATTCTGGTATGCAATTAAGGCATAGCTGCCACTAAGAGGCTTTCCTGGGTGATTAACTTATAAGGGCTGTTGCATCCAAGGAAGTCAACTAAACACAATTATCCTATTTTGAGGGTATGAGCTTGGTTAAAGGTCCCCACTGATTGTAAAATGAGGTGAGAAGAAAAAAGCTTTCCAATGCAGACAATTGGAAACAGAGGTTTAATCGACCAGGGAATGGAGCTCAAGGTCCAGGGTAGCATTCAAAGCACATTCATTGCTCTACTTCTGTTTTTAAGTTGGATAACGCTTTTATTCAAGTGACATGAATTTTTATCCATCCGAATATCAACAAGCCCCTCTATTTCCCAGCCCTCTCTCTTGCTACTCTTCCTGTACTTATTTGGGTGTACGTGCTTAAATGACACTGGCTTCTCCAACAAAGTCACTTCTCCCTGAAGAGACTCTTATGCCCATTTTTCTTTTGTGTGGCCCTCTGTGACTGCTTACTTCTAACTTCTCTCTCACACACACTTACATACAGTATGTTCATAAACATAAATACAGTACATGTATATGCAAAACCATACACTCCCCTGCATCTATCTTTCTCATGTATGCACTTTATGTATGTAGCCCACGGACTGAGTTCAATTTTCATGCAGGTAGCATTGCCTGTAATACAATAGCTCCTTGGCTCCTGAGTGGTCCTCTTCAAATGTTTGAAAACATTTTTGTACTCACTTTGCATTTTCTTTCTTCCTGCTGGGATGTAGTTTTGGTTTAGTTTGGAACTGGTGCTGCACCTCCTGAGGTCCAGTCTCCTTCGGCACAGTTGTGTTTGTCTGACCTTTTAAAAGGTCACCTCCAGTGGCTAGCAACAAGGAAATCAGTTAAAGCAGAGGTGGAATAACTTTTAAAGAGGATAAACTTGTTTTCATTACAATCCGTGTGTCTGACCAGAAATTCTCCATTCTGTTTTTTATAAATGAATGAATTGTGTTTCGCCTGTCAGAATAGAGATGAAAAACCAGTAACTGGTGATTGATGCAAGATTTGAACAATGTTGTATGTGATGGGGGGGGCATGCTGTGCTGAATTGTGCAGTGCTCCCCAGATTAGATTCCCACCATGGCTGCCTCTGTTCTTAACTTCCTCTGAGTGCATGTTGCCATGACGCCTGTTGTGGCATTCTCACATAGACCAGATGGTTTCTAGTGAACTGTGATCCTCTTTACTAAAAGGCTGTCGACAGGTAGTCATGTGACTTGTGAGGTTGCCATTGCTATTAAAGGAGCTGCCACTTTTTCCACCAACTTTTTATCTTGTTTGAAATCTGCTTTTTATTACTTTCAGGTCAACCACCAGACCTGCATTAACTGATAGTTTTGCTACATGAGATCAGCTATAAACACAGTGAAATATTAACCATCTCATAAAGTTTATATGTTTATCAAAGCATTATAAAGCTGTTAGCAGTCAGTGGCACATTTACACATCTAGCAGACATGGAGTAATATTAGCATTCAGTTGGAGTCATATTTGTATCCACCTGACAAATGGCAGTTAAATGTTCAGTCTTCTGTAGTTTTAACTTTGTTTGGGTCTCCACCACTCCCAAAAGCAGTTCACTGAAAGAAGATACAATGCTTTGATGAGCTGAGGTGAACTGCATAATCGGGTGGTTATTATCTGCAGGATCATCACTGGGTGACCTCTTTCACATTATCATTTGTTCAACTGTCAGTATAAAAATATTTATTAGAGCAGCTTTAAGACAGTAATATCTTAAATCAATTCAGTGTTAAAGGCCTGCTCTGATATGACAGTTTGGTCAGAACATATGATGATTTAACTCCATAGCTTTCTTTTGCTTTTAAACCATTGTTATTTGCATTTTGAATAAACTGTTCCTAATATTCTGACCCTCGTGTATGCAGCTGGGGAGGACAATAATATAGAGACACCTCTGAATATAACTATGACCTCAGTAATAAACATAATTGAATTTATACATTTACAAGTATTTCACCAAAAATTGAAACATTTTGAGCTTCAAAAACAAAGATGTCAAGGCAGAAGGGTTGCACTGAATTGCATAGAACTG